AATAAGAAAAAAAACTTCTTATAACAACGCTTCAAAGTGGAACTGGACTATACTCGTCTCCCACCCGGCTTGCAAAAGAAGACTGATCAGGCTTGTTCTCTTTCCGTTCGTCTCTCTTGCTTGTCTTGCTCTAAGTCTTTTCAACTTGCCCCCTCGCAGGAAGAAAGAAGAAAAGCCAGCCGTCCTGCTCCATCACCACCACATTTTTCTTCTTCCCTCTTCCTCTCTTCCCTCTGGCCTCTTCCTCCCCTTCTTCACGAGCTCACGAAGTCAAGTCAATATCAATTCTAACCTGGCCGTCTCGTCTTTGCTCTGCTTCAGACCAGCCGTCTCCCCTTCTCGAACCCCCTTAGCCGTTGCTCGAGCTGTCTGCGTTGGGTCGGGATATACGGAAGTCCAGTCGTCTTCTGGGTGAGAACACTCCCTGCCTCTGTCTTCTTTGCTTTCGTCTTTCTTTTCTCTTTGCTGCTGCGTTTTCCCGGACATCTTATATCGAATCTGAATATACGGCATTGAAGAAGTCTTGCTGTCACTTCACCTTCATCCGTCACCGCCAGCTTCGATTGAATATATTCCTGCAGTCACCCGTCGTCAAGTCACCACAATCCCTCTTTCTCCTCCCATATGGCCTATATATCGAAGGATCTAGCGGCAGATGCCGGGCCTGTGGCATCGTCTCTGCTCAATTGGGCCCTGGGTGAACTCGCCAACAGCTTCGAATGTTTCCATCACCATTTTCTGCCCCTGAATGCCTCTCTCCCGTTGAATCTTCAAGCAAACACCAGCAGCCCTCGATCTGGACCTCTCTACTCTCCCCCGTAGCTCAGCAGCTTGCATATTTCACATACTTTACTTTGCCCCCCCCGTAAAATCACTACCTGGAAAAAAGTGGTAGATGATGTGTTACACGGACACTATTATTTGTTGATTCACTATAAAGGCTAACATATGAACTCTGTTTTTCTCCTTCGGTCTTCTAGGAATCTTCCGTCCGTCTGTCTGTCTGTCAAGCGAACATTCCCTCTCCTTTACGACTGTCGTCTAGTCGTCTCGGAGCAGCCCTGCCCGGTGTCGTCGAACAGTGGAGACGTTAGCTCGTTGTTCACTGGTCCACACCACCACCTCACCTCCCTCTTCGTCGAAGCAAGATCTCGTCCGTCTTTCTTCACCTCGCCGTCGACTTAGATGCTGTGAGGTCCGTCGAATAGGGTTGTTATATACCCAGCCATACATCGCCAAACTGGGTACTTAAGACACCTTTCCCCCCGTCGTTGAATCAGCCTCCCACACCTATATACAACAACACATACACCTCTACGGAAAAGGGAGAAAAGAAGCTAACAGATGATAGCGTTTGTTAAAACTTCATATTTCGGTCTTCGACCGTTTTCAACGGCACAGATTATTGTCTGTGCCTGACTTTCTTTAATATTCCCCCTACTAATACTTTTACGCTCCTTAATTTGCGTTTTTTTTTTTTCGACCCAACGACTGTCCCTCTCTTGAACATCCGCCTCGTCGTAACATAGTTTGCTAGAGCTTAGCAAGACCACACGCCACTCATTTTCATCTCGCTGGAAGTTACGCGGAGCGTCCCTTTAAATCCTTCCTGCGACAAACCAAAAGCTCTAGTGCTCTTTTCACGCTCTCTGGAGACCGACCCAATCCTTAAGTCCATCCAACATGGCATACCAACGCTGTCAGACAACGACTTATCAGCCGTGCGATAGCTACTTCGTTGAGAGCTACGACCAGGACTATGTACAGCCTCAAGTGCATCATCAGCAGCCACAGCACCCACCGCAGCACCCGCAGCAGTCACAACAGCCTCAATCCCATGTGAACCCACGGGAACATGCTCGGCTACTGGCCAGGGAGCGTCAGTATGCAATTGCTGATCAGATGTCACGCATGGCTACCGACGAGTATCAGGAGGACATCTTGGCACACATGCACGCAATGGACAGTGCCACTCAGCCCGATGTCGACTCGATAGACATCCAGACCGAGATCCAATGGTTTATGCGGCCCTACCTGCTCGACTTCCTCATCGAAGCCCACGCTGCCTTCCAGCTGCTGCCAGCTACTTTGTTCTTGACTGTTAACCTGCTTGACAGATACTGCTCAAAGAGAGTCGTGTACAAGAGACACTACCAGCTGGTTGGATGTGCGGCTCTGCTTATTGCTGCCAAGTACGGTGATAAGAAGGATCGTGTCCCCACAATCAAGGAACTCAAGTCCATGTGCTGTTCGCTGTACGATGACGACATGTTTATTCAGATGGAGTGGCACGTCCTGCAGACTTTAGGCTGGTCAATTGGCCACCCAACCGTCGATAGCTTCCTGCAGAACGCCGTGGTCGACACACCCTACGATCCCGAGGTCGAGCATCTCGCCTTGTACATTGCCGAGATTTCTCTGTTCCACCGTGACTTTGTCTCCAAGCTGTCGTCCGACATCGCCAGAGCTTCGCTTGCTCTGTCCCGCTGCATCCTCAACAGACCACAGGCCCCGCAGTCCGATTGGGCATCCAACTACGACTCACTAACGCTAGTGAGCCTCTCGCAGTACCTTCAGAAACCATCGC